GCCGCGAAGCAGAGATGGGCTTGCTCGCGCCCGGAAGCAACTGCAAGTGCCCGAGACGAATGTCGCGGAGATAGCGGTTCCAGAAGTGGTTGAGGGCACCCGAGAGGGCTGCGTGTAGATGAGCCCCGGATTTTCTCGATCGCTTCGCGGTGAGATCCGAGACGCAGCGGGCCCAGATATCCCGGATGAACCGACCATCGCAGTCGGCATGAGAGTTTCACGCTTGGGGCGATTGGAATCGTTACTTCAAGACGAGACGCGCTTGCGCGTGAGGATCTGTCGGATCGAGTGCGCCATCCAGGATCGGAGGTCCAACTTCCGCGTGCTCGCTGACCTCTTTGATGCCACGGGGGGGGGGGGGGGGGGGGGGGCGAGAGCCGGCGAAGAGAAGTCCCGGCCGAGTGCCCTTCGGAAAGCGCGGACGACCTCTGGCCGAGGAAGCATTCGAGACGAGGGGGGCCGATAACAAGAAACGTCGGTTGGCCCACGAGACAAAGAACATGGACAACTCCGAGAAGGGCGACGACGCGATGGAAATCGATCCAAGCGGAGGCGACAGGGGGCATGATCGAGAAGGATCCCAGCGGTGGACGGCCGGGCAGAACGCCCGATGACCATTCAGCCGGCGGCCCGCAGCAGCAGCAGCAGCAGCGGCTTGCGATTCCGAAGGTGCTCGAGTCGAAGCCCGAGGCGCAAGCGAAGTCTCGGCCTCCGGCCGAGGAGCAGGCTGCAGCATCACCCGCTAGTTCGTCGGCCGCGTCGGAGGCCGTCGAGCGAGATGTGGTTCGAGATCCTGCAGGGCAGACAGAACAGATCGACGACGAGCAGAATCTCCCCGGGCCGAGGTACGTCGGATCCGTTGGACTTTACATTGGTTGCGAACAGTTACGGAAGCGCATTTGCCCTGTCCCGCCGTCGGAGCAAGAAGGCTGGACAACCTTTCCAGGTCGCCGCTCCAGGCGGAAGGATCGACAGGAGAGACATGGGCATTGCCCGAGAAACGGGAATGCTTCCTTCGATTGTGCCGCTCGACTCGCAGCATGCAGGGAACTCATGGAGGAGTGGCCTGGGCGTGCGCCTGGACGCCCTGGTGGAGCTACTTGCCCTCGCCGACCAGATCAAACCCAACCGCCGGAATTTCGGGATCTTCCACCTGGAGCGCCCCGCGGACCCTGGGCCACAAGCGAAGCACCGATGATCTGGAAGGGCTGCGAGGACGTCAAGGGAAGTCCAGCGGGAGAAGGCTACCACGCTTGGGTGGACATCGAGGACATCATTTACTTCGACGGTATCTTTCAACGGCGTCGCCCGCCGCTGGCGTGCATCCGTGACGTCGAGAAGCCTCGCGTCCAGAAGATGCAGCAGGACTCGGCGTAGCTCGAGACCCATCAGGCGCAGCACGAAAGCATGCGCATGCTCCGAGAACAACGAGAATTGGATCCGGCACCTGCTGGGTCAGGGCAAGACGGTTGCTTGCCGACAGACGACATGGTCTGCTATTTGGTTCTGAAGAGCCGTTTCAAGCAGAGGTCGGACAAGAAGGAGCACGAGTATTCGCTGACCCACGACAAGGATGTTGCGGCCGTGGGTGCGCAGTTGGCAGGGGTTGTGGCGGTTAGCCACGAGCGCGCGAGGTGCAACGAGTACCGCGTGTGGACAAGTTTCCTGAAGTCGTTCTCAGTAGACGACGCCTCAGGGATTGCCCAGACGTGCAACACCTTTGACGGCGAGATCGCCAGTGGCATCTTCCAGGAGTGCGCCAACGAGGACGACTACTCACCGTTCCTCGCATTCTTCGTCACGTGCGCGGAGCAGGTGGATGAAGAAACCGCGAAGGAGAGGAGGAAGAGGAGGAGGGAGGAAGAGGGAAGAAGAGGAGGAGGAGGACGAGGATGACCAGGGGGAGGAGGAGGAGGAGGAAGACGAGGACGAGGACGAGGACGAGGACGAAGAGGGAAAGGAGGAGGAGGAAAAGGAGGCGGAGGAGGAGGAAGAGGAAGAGGAATAATAAGAAGAAGAGGAAGAGGAAGAGGAAGAGGAACAAGAGGAATATTTATAATAATCAGAATAAGCATGATAAGCGGAAGAAACATAATAAGCACAATCAAAGTAGTAATAATAATGCCAGTAAGATTATTAATCACAAGAACAACAATACTAATAATGATAAGAATAAGAATAGTACGGATACTACTACGAATAGTAAGAATAATAATACGAAGAAGAATAATGATAATAATAATAATAATAATAATAATTATAATAATAATAATAAGAATAATAATACGAATAATAATAATAATCATAATAATAATCATAATAATAATACCACTAATAATAGTACGAATGAAATTAATATTAATAATACGAGTAATAATAATATTAATAAAAATAAGAAGAAGAACATACTAATAATAATAAGAATAAGAAGAATACTACTAATAATAATAATAAGAATAACAATCATAATAAGAATAAGGAGGATGACGAGGACGAGGACGAGGGAGAGAAGGAGGAGGAGGAGGAGGAGGGGGAGGGGGAGGAGGAGGAGGAGGAGGAGGAGGAGGAGGAGGAGGAGGAGGAGGAGGACGAGGAGGAAGACGAGGAGGGGGAGGAGGAGGAGGAGGAGGAGGAGGAGGAGGACGAGGAGGAGGAGGAGGAGGAGGAGGACGAGGACGAGGACGAGGACGGGAGAGAGAGGAGGAGGAGGAGGAGGAGAGGAGGAGGAGGAGGAAGGAGGAGGAGGAGGGAGGAGGAGGAGGAGGAGGAGGAGGAGGAGGGAGGGAGGAAAAGGAGGGAGGAGGAACTGCCGAGGGGCCACGCGCTAGTCCTGCCTGGGCCACGCGCGCCCGCCCGCCGGGGTCGCTTCCGCGGACGGCGCCGGCGAGACTGCTTTCTTGGGAGGTCTTCGGAGGTTTTCGGTGATAGCCTTGTGATTTTCAGATTTTGCGTGTCATTTCCTTCGCCTCCCGGGTCTTCGCCCTCGGTCCCTGTCCATGGCGTACTTTTTCCTGCACATCCGCTTCGGCACCGCCTGTTCCCCGGGCCCCGCCCGCTCCGGCCGCCTGAGGCCCCGCCTTTCTGTGCCCTGTCTCCCTAATTCAAGCTGTGCGTAGCCCGCCTAGGTTTTAGCGGAAGAGGTTCGCTCTCGCCCCGCAGATCATAAAGTGTAGTTTTTTTGAGGTTTCCAGCTAGTATCGTGTAGCTGGTCCCCATCCCCTCTGGGCCATGGTATCTCAGACCCGCCGTCACTTTCAGCCCCGCCGTCACATCCCCCCATTCGGGATTCGGCCTCTTGAAATCAGGCGTGAAGAACTTATATCATCATCCATACCCTCGGGAAGGTGTTCTCCTACGCCGCCAAGCACGCACATGCCGATCCACAGCGTGTTGGGAATGTCCACGCCCACGCCGCCCGCCATTTTGTAACCCAGTCGTGTTACATGTGGACCACAATTGGTATTCATGACACCGTGCCGTTACTTAGGTGTGTACACCGCCCACCACGACGTGTATTAAATAACCGTTCAGTGCCGAAGAAGACGTGACACATCCCACTGTGGGTTGAGATCGCATGGCGACCAGAACGGAAGTTACGCAACCCTGCAGGCATTCGATGATTTCTCTTGTGCTGTATGCCAGCCCGAATCACCACCCAAGATGTGAGGACGAATCGGACGAAACAGAGCCGACACCATGCTAAACGAGGGGGGCAACAAATGCAATTTCTGAGGACATCTTCAGCGAAACTGGGCCGAAACGAAGCCAAAACTTGGCCAAACCAGGCAAATTGAGAGGACGTCTGAAGCGAAGCTGGGCCAAAACAGTGCCAAACCAATGCGAAACCAAGCCAATGTTGAGGACGTTTCAGGCGAAACCGGGCCCAAACCAGGCAACACCAGGGCCAAACCATGTAAATGTCGAAGGGGGTCAATTGGCCGCTGGGATTAAGGCCGCGATAGCGATCGGTTAAACTAGATTCAGATGTGTCATGCTCCAGACGGGTTGCCGAAGCCAGGGCCGCTAGATATCCGTAAGGGCTTCGCCTCCTGCCGCCGGCCCCCTCTCTCGGAGAATGGGCCATGGAAGAGCGAAGTCATGAGGCTTTGGCTTCGCCGTGAAGCAGTGTCGGGACATGCTTATTTTTTTCGACCCTGATCCTACGGATCTGCGTGAGGGGTGCCGCCGAATTTCAGAAACGTTGCAAATCCCATGTGTTTTTGGACCCTGACCCTACGGATCTGCGTGAGGGGTGCCGCCGAATTTTAGAAATGTGACAAATCCCTTTTGTTTTTGGACCCTGACCCCGCCGATCTGCGTGAGGGGCGCCACCGATTTTTTTTAGAAATGTGGCAAATCCCTTTTATTTTTGGACCCTGACCCCGCCGATCTGCGTGGGGTGTGTGACCGAATGTTAGAAATGTAGCAAATCCCCTGACCCCACGGATCTGCGTGAGGGGTGCCGCCGAATTTTCTAAATGTACCAAATCCCTTGTGTTTTTGGACCCTGACCCCGCCGATCTGCGTGAGGGGTGCCACCGAATTTCAGAAATGTGGCAAATTCCATATGGTTTTGGACCCTGACCCCGCCGATTTGCGTGAGGGGTGTTAATTTGTACCCACCCCAGCAATTCAGACAATACGATTTGGGGGTGTTAAAATATCCGTTTTAGGCCTCCCCTCCTCGCGCGGTCTATCAACAAGGAACAGTAAGCAGCAAGAAGTCAACAAGGAACAGCAAGCAGCAAGAAGCAGAACTGCAACAGTGGAACCTGGAAGCTGCAGCCGGTACAGGAAGCTGCGAACCTCCAGCCTGCAGCCTGGTGGCCCCACAAGGGGGCTTGCGGATTCCCGAGTTCTTGGGGGAGGAAGAGGAGGCAGAAGTGGAGGAGGAGGAGGAGGAGGAGGAGGAGGAGGAGGGCGTGTCATGAGCCAATGGCACCGAGATTTTCTTCTAGCCCTTGAACACGATCGGAAGCGGGGCCAGTCGAGACCGCGAGGTGCCTCGGGGACTCCGTGGCCGGGCCGCCGATCACCGACCTGGCCGCCAACACCAAGCTGGCCTGCGATTTCTTCACGAAGGATCTCCGGCCGCGGGCCGCGCGGCGAGAGTGCGACGATTTTTCGGCCGAGAGGGGGAGGACGAGGAGGAAGCAGACGGAGGATCGGATCGGATGAAGCGCGCGCGGCGTAAGGCGCGTGCGTGCAAGTCCTGCGGGCAAGCGTCGCTGACACAGGCAGGTGAGAAGCGTCCAGGTGTGGCGTCACACTCGGTGTCAGTGACGGCCACTGCCGCGACTGAAAGCTTCATGGAACCAGCTTGGGAGGAGGGTGTGGGAGGCGCGAAGGCCCAAGGGGGCGTGAACCAACCTAAGCTGGAGAGAAACACAGCACGTGAAACAAAAAGCCTTGAGACTTCACATGGTGATCGTTTTTTGATGCATTATTGTGCCAATCGGCGCGGGCCCTCGCACCCCCCCCCCCCCACCCCGTGGAGTAGATCTTGGCTGTTTTTGGCGCCTGTTTCCAGCAGGTGGAGTTTCCCCCATAGGACGCACGGTTCCCAACAGTCGCATTAAGCAGAGGTCCAGAGCAAGACCCCCCCCTTCCGCCCAATGTCGAAACGCCGAATGAGGGTGGATCGTTCAAGCGAAAAGTCGCTCGTTCGAGCGAAAAGGTAATCCGTTCAAGCGAAAACCAATCGAGCGAAAACCAATCGGGTTTGGACAGAGCAGCATTTGAGCTTATCCAGCCTCGAAAACCAATGGCGCCAGACAGAGCCGGGAACCGGGAATTTGAGCTTATCCAGCCTCGATCTCTTCAAAATCATGGTTCTCGCCATCCTCTGGGCCGCCGTGAGTCCCTGGGGCGCCAGACAGAGCCGGGAACCGGGATTTCGGGTTTTTCCAGCCTCGATCTCTCCAAAATCATGGTTCCCGCCATCCTCTGGGCCGCCGTGGGTCCCTGGGGCGCCAGACAGAGCCGGGAACCGGATTTTCGGGCTTTTCCAGCCTCGATCTCTCCAAAATTTTAGTTCCCGCCATCCTCTGGGCCGCCGTGGGTCCCTGGGGCGCCAGACAGAGCCGGGAATCGGAAATTTGAGCTTTTCCAGCCTCGGTCTGTCCAAAATCCTGGTTCCCGCCATCCTCTGGGCCGCCGTGAGTCCCTGGGGCGCCAGACAGAGCCGGGAACCGGGATTTCGGGCTTTTCCAGCCTCGATCTCTCCAAAATCTTGGTTCCCGTCATCTTCTGGGCCGCCGTGGGTCCCTGGGGCGCCAGACAGAGCGGGGAACCTGGAACCAGCCTCGATCTCTTCAAAATCCTGGTCCCCGCCCTCCTCTGGGCCGCCGTGGGTCCCTGGGGCGCCAGACAGAGCCGGGAACCGGGAATTTGATTTGGGCTTTTCCAGCCTCGATCTCTCCAAAATCCTGGTTCCCGCCCTCCTCTGGGCCGCCGTGGGCCCCTGGCATCGACGCCGCCTTGCGCCGCGGAGGCGGCGGCCGCCGCGGCGGCCGCCGTGTTACAAAATCTTGGTTCCCGACAGCCGCGGGGCGCGCGGGAGCGCCAGGAACCGGCGCGCACCTTTTCGCGCGCACGCGCCCAGCGATTTTTTTCGAACGGCAGCAGTTTTCGCGCGAATCGTTTTCGCGCGGACGGCGGACCCTCACGCCGAATAAAAAACGCTCATGCAAAGTGTCAGGTTACCTGCAACACTGGTGCCCCTGCATAGCGGCAGCTAAGCAAAGCAAATTTTGCAATAGGAGCAGGAGCACAAGCAGCATAACCAGACGGCCAGATCGAACGGGCGGTCTTGTAAGGGGCAATATGACATAAAGGTAGAGGTGCAAAGGGAGGTGCGCGTAGGCGCTTGTTTCGGACGCGCCCCTGGGTTAAACCAGCATATCAAGTTTGGCCCCTGAGTAAGAAACTCAAACATCGGCTCTGACCCATGTGCAAAAATCAAAGTGCAAGCGAGCACCTGGACACCGAAATCGCATTTACCCAAATCGCCTAGGGGCCTAAATCGTTGAGCCAAAGAACAGCTAGCCCCTCGCCTGCTACTCCCTCCTCTTCCTGGTTCCTCCCTCTCCTCCTTTTCCGTGTCCTTCCTCATCCCGTCGGTGCCCTGGAGGGGCCCCCCAAGAGTGGGGGTCGGGCCTGTGTGCCCCCTGGTGCAGGCGGGGAGCACCGGGCCTTCAGGGCACAAGCCCCCGCGCCTGGGGACGGCCGCCATAAGAGCGGCCTTCCTTCCCCAGGGGGGTCGCCAGGTCCCGTGGCCTCCCCCAGGGCGGTGCAGGGTTCCCACCCTGCACTCGCCGCCCTGGGGTGGGACCGGCGGCTCGTCCCGTCGTTGTCGCTCGTTCGTGTCGTGTCGTTCGTGTCGCGTCGTTCGTTTCGTCCCCCTGTCGTGTCGTGTCGTGTCGTGTCGGGGTCCCGGGGTCCGAAAAGCGGCCACCCATGGAGTGGGTGGTGGGTAGGGTTGGCGCGGAGCACGTGCTCCTGCGCCCCCTACCCCGCCCAGGGAGCGCGGAGCACGGTCTCCTGCGCTCCCTGGTCGCGCTTCGGTCGCGCCACGGGGGCACGGCCCCGACCGTGGCGCGGCCGTTTTTCTCGCTGGCACTCGCCACGCCAGCGGAGTCATGTGGCTGTTCATGGGTTGACCCTAAAAAAAAATCCTCATCCCGTCGGTCCCTCCGTAGTCGCCTTGTCCTCCTCATCCCCTCGCTGTCTCATCGTGCACGTCCCTCCTCCTCCTTCGTCTGCTTCCAGCTTCATCCTCGCCCATTCCTCCCACCCCCTCTATCCGTTTCTGGCGTCGCTGATCGTCCTGTTTTCTCTCTTCCTGTCCGCCCCCTCCCTCCCCGTCCCGCTCCCCCTTCCACCAGGCGGCCCCTTCCCCGCAGGGGGGTGGCGGCACCGCGCGCCTCGAAGTTGGCGTCGTCGGCGGCGTGGCGAACGACGAACGTCGTCGGCGACGGCGGCAGTGAGAGGCGAGGGCCGAAAAGAGCATCAACAAGGGTGCGGGGTGAAGGGGAAGGGGGACTGAGGGAGAAGGGAATTGGAGGAGGAGGCAGAGGAAGAGGAGGCCATGGTGGGGATGTCGGGATGGCTGGTTTCCTTTGTTTGCAACTGCAGTGAAGCAAGAGGTGCCGCTGGCACCACGTGTATTGTGCTGCTGGGTGAGTGCCTTGGCGGCGAGCAACTGCGCGGACTCGTACTGAGTCCAACCCAACACAGCCCCACCCTGTGGTGGGCTCTCCAGCACGCATTCCCCTATATAACGAAACTTCGTGAGCAGACCCTTGGTACAATTGTGTGTGCATGATGTGTGGCATGTGTTTCGACATGTGTTTGGTTGCTTCCGAGGTCGTGCTCACAGACTTGCACGGGCCAGGCGAAGCAAAACTGGACGCGCAATAATTGATCTTGCACCGTTCCTAGTCCACCACCTTTTTCTTGGGAACCTTCCTCGTGGAAGGCTTTGCGGCAGAGGCTGCAGTAGACTGATCGGTCGACCCTGCAACGATACTCACATCAGACTCAGCACCGAGCTTTGAACCTTTGGAGGGCCCCGCCGAGACCTGACCACCGAGCGTGTCTGAGACTTTGGCCTGCAGGCTCTTCGGGAGGGCTTCGAGCTTGGTAGCGAAGCGTTTGGAAATCATTTGCACTGACATGTCAAGGGCGCGCTGGCGAGAGCTCTCAGGCGCGGCGCATATGCAGTTGGCCAATGTGAGGCAAGACACGGCCACGCCTACCTGTACACACTCAGCCGTGCGATGCGCTGCGCCCTTGGTCAAGGAGCGGATGTCATCCTTCTCAGCATCTGAAGCCCAGTGAAGCGCTGTCATGTTAGCGCCCAGGAACTCAATGATGCGCTCATTGGTCGGCGATGCGTTGATGTATTTTCTCCAGGCGCTTGATCTTCGCATCCCACTACACATCAGCCTTGTCCTCGGTGATGAAGGCAAGCTCTTTGGTGAAAGTCCACGAGTCCAAGGCTGGCGCCAAGGTGTCGACACCGTACTTGCTCAGAAAATCCTTCACCTCGGCGGCCATGTCGAGCGTGGCGACGTCGCGCAGCAAGACCTTCCAAAGCCTCACCATGTTTTTCTCCTGCTTCGCGAAGGCCCCGATGTCACGGACCGCATCGGTGCATGCCCGTCAGCTCGATGAGGCCGCACGGCCTCCCATCCCTGCTGTAGTTGAAATTCCTCTCCAAAGCCTTCATGGAGCGAGCCGAGGTCAGGGTCAGCTTGACGTCATGGGCAGCTTTGCGTCGAACTCCTTTGCGACGGAGAGGAAGGTGTCTGAGAGGTGGGCTGAGTGCACCACGCGCTGAACGAAAGATCCAAGAGGGGTTGCAACCTGCACGGTAGACCAGGCGTCCGTCAAGCACCGAAGGAAATCCACGAACTCTGTCTCGAAGAGCTCGTTGGGCGCGCCGTCGGCGGCGCCCTGCAACGTCACCAGCAACTGCTGGTCCAGCCCGTAGAGTGTGGTCCACTCGCGGAGCCCCGTCGCACAAGAAGCGTCGATCTTGCAGGTGTCCACCAGCTCCATTGCAGCGTTCGCCATAAGGACCTTCTCCTTGGCAACGTGGAGGCGGGTCCACTTCGGTGCAAAGTTGAGCAGCTGTTCGAAGATGCGCCCGGCCCAATAGACATCATGCAACATGTCCTCCGAAGCCTCGGAGTGCATCGCAGATGACAGCTTACCCTGAGCGGTCATCTAATTGGGTCGGTGACGCACCTCGCCCACCGCGAACGCATTGGGGTTGAAAGAACCCCTCGAGCGACGATCACCAGTCAAGCCCAACAAGGGCCCCCAGGAGGACCTGAAGAAACCTACACGGCGCCCCAGGACGCATCCGAATCCGAACACGAGCCCGCTCAAACCTTATCTGGCGATGTCTTACACCAGGAAGGGGGAACGTGCGACACCTACCACAGTTAAAATGACAGCTTGCCTGGCCTGGAGATCCTCTACGGTGAACTGGCCCATCAAGGTGGTGCACAGGAACTTGACGACCTTGGTTGCCATCGACTGGTAGTCGGAGTACGCTAGCTCATCGAAGTCGCTGGGGTCGGCATTGACGATGCACAAGGAACAGAATTTCTCAGTGATGGCCACTTCGTCATCGTCACACAAGTCCACGACAACGTTGTACGCGATGTCCGCGGAGTCCCCTACGGCCGCCGCCGCCTCTTCAACCTTCTGACCCATGACTGTCTTGAACTTGGCGGCTGCGTCCGCGGCGTCCTGCGAAGAGTTCAAGTCTGTATCATTCGGGAACATCTCGGATAGCTGCGCCCATCCACGTTTGAAAATGTTGTTGTTGATGGCCCCCTTCACTGTAGCTAAGGCAAGGTTGCGGACGCGAGTCGAAATTGATGACACCACAGACAGCATTTTCTTGGCTTGCTTGCGCAGCTCGCCAGCGACAGTAGCCCCTGCGCTCATGCAGACGATGGCGTCGCCGATAACGATGAGCACGGACATGTCCACGTAGGATTGCTCGAAGAGGCCACACTTGGCGTGGGGCTCGGGCCCAGCATCGCCAGTTCCTGTCACATCAAAGTCGAAAGGGGTGAAGTCCTCGCCCAGGGCGGCCTTGATCTCGGCAATCATCTCCAAGGACTTCTGCTCCGACGGGCTCTCGAGGACAATCCGCTCGATCATGTCGCTCACGATGGCCGTCTGAGTTCGCACTGCCAACGATGCAGCCGCGGCGAGCTCCTCCTCCCCTGAAGGAACGTTCTCCAGCAACAGCCCGAGGCACAACGTGGCGATGCGAGGCCACGCGTGTGGGTTGGAGTCCTGATCAGGCATCTCGATTCGAGGGCAGACGGCCAGCTGCAGCATCAGCGGTGGGTGGGTACCCGCAAGCGAAAAGGACGCTTGCTGGACGATCTGCGCCCGCAGCCGCACCGCGCAGCCGAGCATGACCTGGTGCTCCGCGTTCGTCGTCGTCCTCTGGGCGATCGCGGCGGTCGAGTTCTTAATCTCCTCGAACAGTGAGCGCCGCTGACCCAGCAATGAAATTGTCATGCCAGCCTGCTCTGACGATGACGAGCAGTCCTTGTCGCCAGTGAACTTGGCCGGCTCGCGGGCTGACTTGGCCAAGGAGTTGATGACGGAGTCGTGAACCCTGGTCTTCGGCCGCTTGATCCACTCCAGCTCCTCGGTGTGGTTCTCCTTGATAGCTGCAACAGCACGTAAAAGACCGCAGGCTGCAGATCGCCGTGATGATCCGCTCCGACGTCTTTCGGGAGCACAGGGCGCGCAGGATCGACGTCACGCCTGGCCCGAAGGAGTTCTTCACAGTCGTGAACCACGTCGTGGCCGATCACCTCGCGCGGGTCCCCGTGGCGCTGCCCGACCTCGCGGAGGTGCTTGACGAAATGCGGTGGCCCGCTTCCACGGAGGCTGAGGTGCTTTCCGATTCCGATTAGACTGCAACAGTATCCGAATCCGATTCGATTGCGACAATACTCAGCGCGGCCCGCGCAGCCCGAAACAAAAGGTTATCGTCATCCTCATCATCGTCAGCATCATCATCATCATCATCGCCATCGTCATCGCAATCGTCGGCTTCATCATCATCGTCATCATCATCATCAACGTCATCATTTAATCATCATCACCACATGATGATGACGATGACGAGGAGATGGTGATGGATATTCTAGACGCTTCGCTTACCCCCACCAGCCCATCCCGAAACGATGTCCAGGCGAGTTGAGGTGATCAGGGAAGTGCGGCAGCAAAGAGGAGGACGGCCGAACCGCGCAAAGGAGTGAGGAGGAGGAGGAGGCGGATGGATGGATGGATGAGGGAGTGGGAAGACGGAGGATGAATAGGATGAGGAGGAGGCGGAGGAGGAGGAGGAGGAGGAAGAGAAGGAGTAGGAGCAGGAAGGAGGAACAGGAGGAGGAGGAGGAGGAGGAGGAGGAGGGCAAACAGAAGGGCCAGAGGTCTCTTGGATGCCTCTAGGAGCCTCTTGGAGTATCTATTGGGCGATTATTGGGGGCCTCTTGGGACGTCTTGGGGGCCTCTTGGCGATCCTGGGGGGCCCTTCGGGGTCTTGGGTGCCTCGGGGGGGGAGGGGGGGGGGGCTCTTGGGGCCTCTGAGGGTCTTCTTGGGGGCCTTCTGGGGGCCTCTTGGGGGCCTTTTGGGGCCATCTTGGGGCCATATTGGGACCTCTTGGAGCCTCCTGGGCGCTTCTTTGTGCCATATTGGAGGAGATCTATCAAAGAAGAGCTGAGCTTTAATCAGCGCTGCCCCCCCAGGAGGCCAACATGGGGCCAAAACCCTGCTAAAGTCAATGATTTTGGCTTCCTCGCCGAGGCTGTTTTGGACGCTCTGACCGCTCCCCGCCCCTCCTGTCCAGGTCAGTGGGGAGGGGGTAGGGGGAGGGGTAAACCCCTCCGCGAATGGGAAGAGGGAGGGGTGGAAGAGGAAACGCCCTAAACCACCGACGCCCAGAGGGCTGGTGGGATTATGATGACGACGATGATGAGGAGATGGTGATGATGATGGCGATGACGCGGACGATGATGAGGATCATGCGACGATGATGACGATGATGGTGACGATGATGCAAAAACCGAATGAGTCAGTTGAGCTCCAAAACCCCGCCCTAAAGACAGCCAGTAAAGCTAAGCTAAAACTAAGCTGAAGCTAAAGCTAAAGCTAAAGCTAAGCTAACGCTAAGCTAAAGCTAAAGCTAAAGCTAAAACTCCCAGGGGACTGGGGGAACCGCGGGGCGGGGACTGGGGGAACCGCCCGGGGCGTGTTCCACTGCCCGGCCCTTTAGGCTAAGAGAGTAAGAACCCTTCTAGGCAGAGCCTAGGTGGGGAAAAAAGTTCCTCAGCAATCGCAGCGAACGCTGGACCACAAACATCGTGCTTGTCTATGTTGACACCCATACTTGGGAAAACGCTCCACCTCTTCCACCTGTTGTATATCGTTCCAAAGTTCCCCCTCGGGAGGGGCACTGCTGGCGCTGCGACCTCGCACGCCCGAATCGGGAAACCGTCGGGCATCAGCGGGATGACGTGAAGCGTCTGCGACAAATTCAAAACAGCCCGTCGTGTATTCTTACCACGTCGTCGGCAACTCTTGTCAACCTGCTGGTTGGGGGCGCCCTCCTCACCATGGCCAGGCTGACCACGTGGCGGCGGTGGCCTGATCCACATCTCGGCGTCATCCATCGTGGCCGTGATGAGGAGGCCGCTCTGGTCCGACGGGGTCGCCAGCAGGAAGTCCCGAAGGCCTGCCGCCTTAGACTGCACGTGAGAAATTGTACATCGGAAAGAGTCCCTCTTGTCCAACTTGCGGGTGTCCACGACGATCTTCAAACCCGCTGCTTCGATCTCTGATGTTCTGAGCAGCGCATCCTGGAAAACTCTCATGCACCACCTCGCAAGCGTCGGCGCCGCTGCCATCAAACCTCAAACTCCCACCTCCGAGCCAGAGGCGCCTGCCTGTGTGTGTTGTTTGGCGCGCGTGGCTCACAGGGGGTTGAGGTTGAGGTTTGATGGCACCTGGCGCCGTTGCAAGAGAGGTGGCGTCGAGAGTCACCCGCGTCCTTCGCGTCCACTGCGGCGCACCCGAAGCACGCGGTCGCCACCTCCCTGGCGAAGGTGGCGCCCCTGGCGGTCCGAGCCAGGCAGCTCGACCGCCAGGATATGTGTTTGAACACCACAGCTCTGATCCTGGCCTTGTGGGTCGCGCGGAGGCGCCGCCCGTCGCCGCGGCCAGCCCCTGCTGGAACGGCTGCTGGAGCGGCGCCCCTGCCGCGCCCTCGCCCTCGCCCGCGGCCGCGGCCGCGCCTGCCAGGCGCTGGGGGCGGAGCTGCGGCTGGAGGCGCCGCAGGAGCTGCGGCTGGCGGCGGAGCTGCGGCCGGCGGCGGAGCGCCACCTCCTCCGTCTGCTCCAGCCGCGGGCCCCTGCTCCAGCAGCGCCCGCCACATGCAAGCGCGGAACCCTCGGCGGGGGCACCAGAAGCCAAAATGGCTGTATACGGAGGGGCGGAGTGGAGGGGTCGGCACGGAGGAGGATGGACATCACATCACAAGACAAGTTAACGCGCCCACATTTTGCAAACAGATCGAAGGGTTGATTGCACTGCGCCAGTACCGGCGTTGGAAGGGGTGCTTACGAGACGGAGCATGAGGATCACAGGGGCCAGAGCAGGAAGCGGATGAGGAGCAGCGGCAGTGGCAGCAGAGAGGGGGGGATAGTTGAAGCAGGAAGCGCAAGCAACAAAGGTGGGTCGCAACATTAGCAGGGCCAAGGGGACACACCAGAGAGGCTACATTGAGATGATCGGGGCTCTTTTTCGACGAACTGCGCTCTCTCGCGGGGAGTGGGAGTGGGAGTGGGAACGGGCCACGTTGTGCAACATTTCGGGGTCAATTCGTTTGTTGTTCGGGTTCCGACGTTGATTTGTTTGGGGCCCCGCTCTTTGATTGACGCCCTAAAGTTGTTTGCGAACTTATCTTGGGTTTCCCCTTTATTCCCCGCCCCCCTTCCCCAAGGTCGCCTCCCAAAGCTCTCCCCCATAACGTGGCAGGAACGGGTGGCGGGGCGGGCAGATTGTGTTTCCGCTGGCCCCATTCGGTAAGCATTTGCGCGTTTGGGGGTTGGGGGCGTTGGATGCACATCGCCGAAAGCACGAAATCTTTCCGCACACATGAAATCTAATAATACCATGAGGGCCTCCCTGTCTCGTTGCACCATACGGGCGACGTCGTGCGCGCGCGCTTTGCCAAACGACCTTGCTGCAGTTGCGAATTGCACAGATGCTATGTTGCAAGAACGGCGCCTAACCCATCTCGAGTTGACCACTTTGGAGGTGCAAAGAAATTGCCCTAACAAGGTCGCCGAAAAGGGATAACGCTGGCCCCTCCTAAACCGTGATTTACCATTATGTGGGATTGCCTCATCCAAGGGCGGTCGCTAAAGCGTCAAACCATCATGAAGGAAGTTTCGAACGATGACGCGATTCCCAATTAAATCGTTGGGAAGTCCAAAGCGAGAACATGATTTTTGAGTCTACGGCGCACGGTGCCGCAATACATTGGAAGTTTCACGCGAGAGCGCGATTCCTGGATAACATATGACAGAGGCCCGCGCGAGAGCGCGATTTCGGAATACACTGTGAGCCCTCGCTGTTCTTCTTGTCATCATTGTTGCTGTTGCTGCTGACTTCTCACTACTGACGAACAGTTCCTGCTGATCCCCACCTCTGGTGACACTATGTGTTTTTCAGTTGAGACGCCCCTCTCGGGGTTTGCACCCTGCTCCTCCTCAAGCTGTGCCCCTGCTCCCCGGTTTGCGTCGACAGCGTCTCCCGCCCGATATTGCCTTGCAGCTTATGAAGAATCGCGCTCTCGCGAGGGACTTCCCTGCAATGTATGACAGACTCGCGATCTCGCTTGCGACGTCGCAGTTTATTCAGGCGCCACGCCCTCGCCATTCAGGAATCGCGGACTTGTATGGGACCTGCTCATCATTCACTTGGAAATCGCACTCTCGCCCGAGACTTGTTGACGAACTATGCAGGACTCACCCATTCGCGTAAAATTCGTGTTTTTCAATTGAAGTGCCCCTCCCAGGGTTCGCACCCTTTTTTTATAAGGAAAGTGTTCCTCCTCAAACTGTGCCCCCGACCCCCGGTTTACAGCAACAGCGGTTCCCGCTGGATGTTTGCTGCAATTTATTAGGAAACGCGCTCTCGCAAGGGACTTCCTTGCAATTTGTAGCAGACTCGCGATCTCGCTTGCGATTTCGCAATTTATTCAGGCGCCACGCCCTCGCCATTCAGGAATCGCGGACTTGTATGGGACTTGTTCATCATTTAGTTCGGAATCGCAGTCTCGCCCGAGACTTGCTGACGAATTATGCAGGATTCACGCATTCGCGTAAGATATGTGTCTTTACAATTGAAGTGCCCTTCCCGGGGCTTTTATCAGGAACATCTTCTTCCTCAAATTGTGCCTTCGGCCCCCAGTTCCCGCCTGGTAGTTCCCCACAAGTTGCTCCCAAATCGTGGTCTCGCGAGGGACTTCTTCATAGCTTCATGCAGGAATCACGCTTTCGCGTGGGACATCATTGCAGTCTATTCAGACGCCACGCCCTCGACAATCAGGAACAACGCTCTCGCAGTGGATCTCTTCAAAATCTATTGGGGGCTCGCGCTATCGCTCGAGACTTCCTCGCGACTTCTGCAGGACGCACGCTTTAGCAACCCGCCTGCTCGACGTGGCCGTCTAGGTCCGCCTTCCCGACCCGCCCGTTAGGGTATACCCGCCCGATCTGCCCGTCTGGCCTTGTCACGTGTTTTCCGCTCCTGGCCCTCCTGTTATTTTCTCTCGTGCTCCATCTTCCTTCCTCCCCCTTGTCCCTTCCTTCCATTCGTCCTCCCTTTCCCTGCCTTAGGGGCTGCACGAAATATACACCCCGAAGCGGGTACGATCGAAGACGAAGAGGGCGGGTAGCGAGGGTTTGGGATATACGGGTTGAGTGGCACGCGATCAGGAAAGAAGTAACAGTCTTAATCTGACTGCTGTTGTTGTAAACTGGGTGCCAGGGGCGCAATTTGGTGACCACAGGTAATTCCAGATTTAACCCGGATGCGAGCCCCGGGTGGAGCTCTTGAGTTGAAATTATTCGAGACGTGCCCAATCTTTTGGGAACAAGCATCAAACCTGTAAAGCGTACCCACCCAAAGTAAGCCAGTAATCCGTACTCATGGGCGGAGTGTCGCCCATGGAGACATCATCTGTAGAGCGACTGATTGTTTACCTGCGTTTCATCATGTTTGTGGATACGCGTTGCACTTACAGCCGCGCGTGATATGGATACGTGGGCACGCAGCTAGCGTCCGAGCCATGGCTGGATTCCAGGAGTGTCGATAGGCGCTGGCGGCAATCCTGCGGATTGCTCGGGGGCCCCCCCCTGCTCTGGACCCGCAGGTACTCAGAGTATTCTAAGCTATCGCTCCCCCTCTGGCGTTGGCCTGGCTAAGATTGTTCCTGGGGCGTTGCTTCGCACGTCTGTCACGCAACAGCCCTGCGGGAGGCTGCTCTCCTCAGTCCCTCCTCCCTCCTTCCCTCAGCCCTCCCTCCTTCCCCCGTCCCCTCGCTTCTTTCTCATCCCTCACCCCTCTCTCCTCACTCCCCCCTCTTTCTCCTGTCTCCTCCCTCCCCCCCTCTTCCTTCCTCCTTCCTCCTTCCTCACTCCCTGTTCCCCCCTCCTCTCTCCTTGCCTCATTCTGTTCTCACTGATCTCCCTCTCCTCCCGTCCCTCTCCCCCTTCCGTTCCCTTCACTATTTCTCCCTCTGTCCCTCGTACCACCCTCGGTTCCTTCCCCGTGTCTCGTCCCGTGTTCTACACACGTGGCGACGATACACCGGACGAGTCAATACAAACGAACATGTTGAATGATTTGCAGGAGCCCACGAACGTGGCGACAGTTGCGCACGTCGCAGCCCCCAGTGACCCGCGAGCTCTCGGCTGGGTCTGTTTACCATTCCGCTCCGCTGAACCTCCCAGGAGCCCACGAACGTGGCGACAGTTGCACAGTTCGCAGCCCCCCAGTGACCCGCGAGCTCTCGGCTGGGTCTGTTTACCATTCCGCTCCGCTGAGCCTCCCAGGAGCCCACGAACGTGGCGACAGTTGCGCAGTTCGCAGCCCCCCAGTGTCCCGCGAGGTCTCGGCTGGATCTGTTTACCGCTCCACCCCGTTGAGCCTCCCAGGAGCCTGCGAACGTGTGACGTGTGCAACTGTCGCCACTGGCGACAGTTGCACACGTCACAGGCCCCCAGTGTCCCGCGAGGTCTCGGCTGGATCAGTTTACCACTCCACCCCGCTGAGCCTCCCAGGAGCCTGCGAACGTGGCGACGACATTTGCACAGTTCGCAACCCCCCAGTAACCTGCGAGGTCTCGGCTGGGTCTGTTTACCATTTGACTTCGCTGAGCCTCCCAGGAGCCCACATGCCATCCCGCCTCGTGCGCCGTAAAAGCGTTTGTGAGGTTGGCGCCGGGGGGGTCAATGCGCCTGGGGATGGCATGAACTCTGGCAACTTCGAAGTGGGTTGAATCCAGGCCTGCTCGTTCTGCCGCGGGGGGTGGGGTGATATGACTCTTCCCTCGCTGTCTCCCGCCGCCGACGCCGGACACCGCCGCTTGTCATCGCTTCGACCGCAGCAATGTATGGCTGCAGCCAGGTGGAAAAGGGGCGCGACTCCGGCCGGCCGGCGGGTTCTCCTCTCCACACATATTTAGTTGTATGCCTTCGCTTCATGGATTTACATCTTAGCCATGTCGAACTCAATGATCCAGCCTGCTGGGGAGACAGAACCATTGATGATAGTAAAACGAGGTAACACATTTGTCATAATGCCAGAAATGTCTACTCGTGCGGGGAATAACTGAGGAGCCTTCTTTGCTTACGTGACTGATGTGGAGGCTCGTCATTCCAGGTCGCCAACTCTAGCCAGCCGGCGCCGTCCGCCCCTCTTGCCGCGCACCTTCTCGTGGCCGCCGCCCGGGCGCGCCCCTGCCCCTCTCGGGCCGAACGAAAGGGGGGATAGGGAAAGGGGGGGCTACGAAATCTGCTGCGTGCAGCTGGTTTCGGCCCCGCCGCCGGGCCCATTCCTCGATGCATGGGCGCCTCCCGGCGCCGGGAGGGGCCGGGAAGATCAGCTACGTGAGCTGACTCTCAACCCCCCCCTTATGCTATCCCCCCCTTTCGCCCGGCCCGACCCTCACAGAGGACGCGGTGTCCTACGCGCAGTTCAAGGCTCGAGGACAAAACACGACGTAAGCACACATTTTCGCAACTCGGCGCGGATTTTTTGGATCGGCGCTGGACCCCCCTCCCTGGCCCCCAGCGCGCGGAGCGCGCCAGGGGTGGTGCCGGAGGCGCCGCCAGGGGTGTCCTGCGTCGAATCCGCGCGGAGCTCCGACAGTTTGTGCCCAGTATGCCGATGTTTGCTCCTCTGAAGGTGCAGTGCGTGGCTTTGCGGATTTTCGCCTTCGCCGGCGTTACAGGGGTGGGGCAGGGCTGGGGACTCCTTCTTTCGAACTGTCGCTGGCCCTGCCAGGCGCGTGAAGAAAGGACGGTGTTGACTGGATGTTCGACCCCAGGGGAAGGATCCGAGGAAGGAAGCTTTGATAGCAGCGGGCACGAGTGTGCAAGAAACGGTCAGACGCTGGTCGGGCTAGAGGCGGGGCGCGCCGAAGCAGATTACAGTCGGGGCCCTGAAGAAGGAACCCTTTTTGTTGCGGAGGGGCTTCGTGTTCCTTGGTTGCTTTACAGTGCTCCTTGGGTTTTCCTGAGGTTTTCCATGGGAAATCGGAGTTTACCATATGGGAGAAAGGAGCCTCCTTCCTTATTTATCGTTCCTTAGGTCAACGCCCCGACTGTAGGGCACAGAAGAAGAGGAGGAGCCGAACGGAGCGAGGAGGAGAATGAGCCGCTCAGATCGTGCAGGCCATCTCGGAGTGCCGCGGAGAGAGCGTGCGGGCTGCGCGCGGGCAGCGGAGGCCAGGGCTAGCTGGAAACGGAAGGCTTGGATGAGGTTCAGCCCGATTGCGATGAGGGGTACAGTCGGGGCCCTGAGGAAGGAACCCTTTTCGTTGGGGAGGGGCTCCGCGTTCCTTAAGTCTTTCACAGCTTGCCTCAGGCTTTCCTTCTGTGTTCGACGGGGAATCGAAGGTTAACTTATGGAAAAAAGGGGCCTCGTTCCTTATTTAGGGTTCCTTAGGTCAGCGCCCCGACTGTACCACAGGTGGCCGGAAACGCACGCAGAGCGTGTGGGGGAGGGACTCGTGGAACACAGTGCGCACGAAGTGCCAGAATCGCGATTCGGCGAGCTGGGCCGGGGACCGTGCGCGGGGCGGCGAAGGACGAGGCGGCGACAGCCAGAAAGGTAGGAGCACGTCCTGTGTTGAGCAGCACGGGGCAGACCCTTGCCGAGCATGGCCAGAATAAGCATTCGGAAGTCTGCGCAGACTTCCTGAACCTGCGCTCCCCTGGCGCGCTCCGCGCGCCAGGGGGGCTGGCCCAGCGCCGCTCGAAGAGATCCGTGTGGAGTCTCGACAGTTTAGGCTTATGAAGTTTACCTTCTTGTAGTCTCGCCCAAAGTTGGCAGGAGTGTCGCGGATGGCGTCGGACGATCGCTCCGCATCTTCGATGCACCAGCTGTGCCGCGGCTCGATCTGGAGCACGTTTTTTCTCCGCCCCTTCGTCGCCGATGCATCGGCGACATTATCAGATTTTTTCGACCCCGTATAAGGTGAGGGGGAGGAGGGGAAACATAGGCGGTGAGCCAAAGGGGGCGGGGCCTGGAGTTCCGAGGCGGGGACTTATCCATAACCATCGCCTGAGGGGGTCTCGATCTTCAGGGACTTCGGCCGGCGGTGGACGTGGATATGGATATGTTCGAGTTCGAGCCTCGCCGCCTCACCGTGGGGAGCGAGGGCGCGGGAGCACCGGGGTCGCGCGGCTCGCCCCGCGGCGGCGGGAGGGCTGCATGCTGTCGCTGATGATGGACCCGCCCAAGTCGTCCTACTGGCAGCGCTGGTCGCCGACCTTCCTGCTCTCCCACCTCAAGGCCTGCGCGCCCGCCCGCCCCGCGCGGGGGGGGCCCCTGCGCGGAGAGGGCGCCTCCTCCTCCTCCTCCTCCTCCTCCTCTTCCTTCCCTTCCTCCTCCTCCTCCTCCTCCCCCTCCTCCTCCTCCTCCTCCTCCTCCTCCTCCTCCTCCTCCTCCTCCTCCTCCTCCTCGGGCCGCGGGCCGCCCTGCCGTCTCCGAGGGGGGGCCGGCCGTCCGGGCGTTCGGCCTCGCGGCCCGCGGGCCCGGCGGAGGCGCGCAGCAGCGCCGCCAGCGTGGCGCCGCTTCTGCACGCGAGGCTTCTCCGCCCGGCTTCTGGCCCCGGGGCCATCACGGATCGGGTCGGGCGAAAGGGGGGGGTTGGGAAAGGGGGGGTTACGAAATTTGCTGCTGCATGCAGCTGGTTTCGGCCTCACCGAGGGGCCCATTCCTCGATACATAGCCGCCTCCGGCGCCGGGAGGCGCCGGGAAAATCAGCCACGTGAGCTGATTCTCAACCCCCCCCTTTGCTATCCCCCCCTTTCGCCCGACCCGAACGAGCGATCGGGCCGGGGAAATGCCGCAGAGCGCTCGGGTCAAGGGCTCTGGTCGCGATTTGGGTTCGCGACGTTGCAGAATGTTTCGCAGCGTGCGATCTCAGGGACGGCCGGCGGCTGTGCACGAGTGTTGGGGCCTGGGCGGGGGGGCCTCGGGGGCAGCCTTGCGGGGACCTTCGGAGCCGCGGCGTCTTGGGGGTTAGTCCTCGGGGCCCTGGAGGGGGTCCTCGGGGCCTTGGGGGCGGGCTGTGGGGGATATTGGGTTCAGTCTCGTGCCGGTCTTGGGGGCAGTCCTGTGGCCAGACGATTTGGACCATTGGATCGGCGAGCAATCCGGGCGAACATCAGAGTCAGTTCGACCGACAGTGAGCATACATTCGGTGCGGCCAGACACGCGGTTGGGCCGAATCCACGAGACATTCGAAATCCACCCACCCGCGTCCACCGCGTGCGACCCATTGCAGGTCGGGGTCCAGTGGGGCAAGCTCTCAGGCTTGAACCTCAGAGGGGCTGCTTTGCCGTCCAGAGAGCGAGAACACGCAGTCAGCCGTGATTCGAAGAGGACAAAACTGATTAAACATAAATAGATTTTCGGAGGTCCGCGCGAATTTTTCGGATCCACGCTGGACCCCCTGGCGGCAGCTCGGGCGCCGCCCCCGACGCGCTCCGCGCGCCAGGGGGGGGGGCCCAGCGCCAGGCGTTCTGCAGAGCCAGCTCCCGGGGCCCCCTTGGAGACTCCTGGAAACTCGTGGAGGCCTCCGGAGCCACCCCCCCACCTCGCAAGGACGACCCCCCGCCCCACAACGAATGCAAAAATCTTCGTTGTGGGGCTCTCTGTAAAAAAGAGTGCACGGTGGTCCATGCGAAACTCCCGTCTTATGTGCAGTGGCGGTGGGAACACGCGCCCCTAGGGATCCCAGAATGAGCGCCGAAAGTCATCAGGGTGACTTACAGCACGTTCTGAAATAAATCGTTTCTGCGCCCCCCCAATCAGTTTAAAGCAGGAGGAGGAGGAGGGGGGAGGAGGAGGAAGGAGGCGGGGAGGAAGAGGACAATATAGACGAAAGGAAGGGGGAGGAGGAGGAGGAGGAAGCAGAGGAGGAAGAGGAGGAGGAGGAGGAGGAGGAGGAGGAGGAGGATGGCGCGGAGGACAAGGAGGAAGAGGAGGGCGCGGAGGAGGAGGAGGAGAAAGAGGAGGAGGAGGACCAGGAGAAGGAGGAGAGGAGCAGGACGAGGAGGGCGAGCAGGAACAGGGCATCGCCGCATGCTGGTATGGCTCGAGTTCCCGAGCTCTGCTCCGGCTGTCTTTTGGGCCCGTCAGTATTTTTGAGAATTCCGCCATGGCCGATCTGTTGAAGGCGTTCTTGGACGCCGAGGGCCTCAGCAGTTTCGCGCCGCAGATCCTCGAGAGCCCAGGGCTGCTTCGCGTATTTTTGCCATTCCCCTGGGAACAAGCAGCAACGTAAGTGTGATCGTTCTTCGGTTCTCGGCGGATTTCTCAGGTCGGCGCCGGGCTCTGCCCGGGAGGAGGGCCCAGCGCAGACCCAGGACATCGGCGGCCGACCGCCGAATGTTTATGTTGTGTCGCGAAGCCGCAACCGAGCGGGGGGCCGACACGGCGCCCGTCGAGGGGATGGCCAAGAAGCTGCGCACAGAGGCCGTGGCCGCTGCCGTGGCCGTGGTCGTGGCCTTGGCCGTGGCCGTGGCCTTGGCCGTGGCCGTGGCCGTGGCCGTGGCCGTGGCCGTGGCCGTGGCCTTGGCCGTGGCCGTGGCCGTGGCCGTGGCTGTGGCCGTGGCCGTGGCCGTGGCCGACGAGAAGGAACGCGCAGCAGCGAAGCGCCGGGACGAACTGCCCTGGATGGCAGGAGTCGAATGGCTGCAGCGCGAGTTCGGCACGTCAGAGAAGCCGCTGTCGAAGAAGCAGCAAGAGATGCTGAAGAAGGCTTGCAAATGCGCCAAAACCACGGCGGAAGGTCTACACAAACCCGAATGCACTTGTCATCCAGCCCGCTTGCGAAAACACGCCGCCCGCGCAATGCAAGATAGGGCGCAGATGGAGGAACAGCTCCGCAAGCGAACGACGACGGCGCCAGAACAGCGCCGCGCAGCGTTAGGCAACCTGCGCGGCCCTCGCGCGGGGCCCGCGCATTCGCTAACCAGCAAGGGGGGCGTGATGTTCTCCGCGGCGCCGTCTTTCAGAGCGTCTTCCTCCGCGGCGCCTGCGTGGCCGGCCTCGTCGCCCAGCAGCGCTGCGCCCAGCCGCGGCGCGGCCGAGCCAGGCGCTCGAGGCCAGGGGCATCGTTCGAGTCGACATCTTGTCGTCCCCGAGCCCAGTGTGTGCCAGTAGGCCCAAGCAACTGCTTTGACTCTTAGGCTCAAGCAAAAAAACTCCCCCCCCCTCTCTTTCGCCCCCAGGGGCGCCGCCGCTGGGTACCAGACGCCCAGGGGAGAGGATAGAGGCGCGGGTTCGCAGGCCTCGCGTTCGACCCCCCCCCCCCCCCCCCCCCCCCCTATTCCCGACGGCAGCGCGGGGGGTGGTCGGTCGCAGGCGCCCAGGAGAGAGGATAGAGGCGCTGGCTCCCAGGTCTCTTTCGATCTCGGGGGGCGCGGGGATGGGCCTCGACAGGCCTTGGGGCCCGCGCAAGCTGCGCGCGAGAGGCCGCGCGAGAGGTTCTGGCGCCGGCCCCTGGGCTGAAAATCCGCGGGCTCGTGGAAACACTTGTGCGACCTCTTGCGCGTGCCTTGCGCGGACCTTGCGTGGGCCCCAGAGCCTGCCCAGGCTCATCCTGGGGGCCCTGGAAGGTCAGCCCTGCGGCCGCCATCCGCGCAGCTGGCAGTGCTCACAAGAGGAGAGGGGGGAGGAGGATGAGGAGAAGAAAGAGGAGGAGGAGGAGGAGGAGGAGGAGGAGGAGGAGGAGGAGGAGGAGGAGGGGAGGAGGAGGAGGAGGAGGAGGAGGAGGGGCGAGGACGAGGGCGAGGACGATGGGGACGAGGGCGAGGAGGAGGACGAGGAGGGCGCGGAGGAGGACGAGGAATGGGGCGATGATGGGGGGGGAGGAGGGGGGGGCGGCGGAGGCGGAGGCGGAGGCGGAGGCGGAGGCGGAGGCGGGGGCGGAGGCGGAGGCGGAGGCGGAGGCGGAGGCGGGGGCGGGGGCGGAGGCGGAGGCGGAGGCGGAGGAGGAGGAGGAGGAGGAATTGTTTCGCGCTCTTCCGTTAGATGCCGAACGCGCCAGCTGCAGGAGGGAAGCGCCGGCAGGAGAGAAGGGGGGGGCGCCACCGTGCGCCCGATCAGCGGCCCTGCGCGCTGAACTTCGTGGCCTCCTCCTCGGCCTGCTCTGCGCACTCCCTCGGCTGCGGCCCGGCGCGCCGCCTCGCGATCGAACGCCGGGTCGCTCTGGTCCGCTCGAGCTGCGCCTCCTTCTGAAGGGCGCCATCGACGACGAGTGAGTCGTCGGCGAAATGCCTGTGCCCAAACGGGCACATGTCGTTCACGAAGAAACCTTCGCCCCACATGGGCGCCGAGTGCCCCCATGTCTGCAGCCCCATGCCAGCGCGGTTGGTCCTGTAGTCGACCCAGCCGTGGAGCAGGGGGTGCTCGTGCGCGCTGGCCCGTGTCATGGCCAGCGCGCGGTTGAGCGGCTGGGCGCGCGGACCAAAGCTGTCCTGCCTGGCCCAGCCCGCCGCCAGGGCGATCTCGAAAATCCACTCGTCCGCTATCTCATGTCGCGCACGCCACCATTGCCAGCCTGTGCACGGCTCGCCTGCGGTCGCCTCGTACGCATCGATGTTGGTCGCCTTGCCGCCCAAGACCACCTCGGTGTCTCTGGGGGTTGTTTGTGCGCCCCCCCACCGCGCCAGGTCCTGCAGCACGTCGCCCTTGCTCACCTCCGTCAGGTGGGTGCAGCGGGCACTGCCCTGGTAGCCTTTGAAACTCTGCTGGCCCCCGTCGTACAGCGGGCGGGCTGTTGTCGATGCTCACCTGCGCCCCGTCGGCCTCCAGGTTGCCGCCGGCGCTCGGCTCCGTGCCGAAGGTGTCGAGCGTCCTGCCCAGGCCCACGGGCCCCGCGTTTTTGGTGGTTGTTTGTGCGGCCCCCCACCGCGCAAGGTCTTGCAGCACGTCGCTCTTGTTCACCTCCGTCAGGTAGGTGGGGGGGGGGTACTGCCCTGGTAGCCCTTGAAACTCTGCTGGCCCTCGTCGACCAGCGGGCTGTTGTCGATGCTCACCTGCGCCCCGTCGGCCTCCAGGTTGCCGTCGGCGCTCTGCTCCTTTCCGAAAGTGTTGAGCATCCTGCCCTGGCCCATGGGCCCCGCGTTGCTGGGGGTTTGTGCGGCCCCCCACCGCGCCAGGATCTGAAGCACGTCGCCCGAGTACACCTCCGCCTCGTAAGCGTTCTGGGCACTGCCCTGGTTGCTCTTCCTGCTCTGCTGGCCCCCGTCGACCAGCGGGAAGTCGTTGAAGCTCACCTT